TTTCCGAGTCATTATGAGTGCCGGCATAAGCATAGATGCAAACTCAGAACGCATACAAATGCTACTTTCACAAAGAGGCACAAAAACGCATAATCGTATTGTCATCTCAGTTCATGCGGAACTAAAGCTAAGAAAACTATATCACCTTTGAGGAGTATGAGGCCGAAGAGTAAAAGAGGACTGAAAGATTTGCTCTGGGAGAATAATTATCTTTTGGGCATAATTGATGATAATATGCCTTTGAAGTGGAATAAAAATTCAGAGGTAGACTATTCGGCCAAACATAGTCAAGTCGAGAGCCTTTCTCATGTTCTAATCTTGGCGTAATGCTTTCTTTCCAAGAACACAAGACGCCCAGTTAGAAAGTGGAGGAAGAAGCTCCGACACTTTCTTCGGTTATGCCATCATCGAGATTGTGCGCTCCTGCGGTCAAATGTATGTTGGTGTGATCTGTCGGCCTATTTGCCAAAGTGCAGGTGAATACAGGCAGCTGGCTCGAATGCTCAGAAGTAGCAGAGCATGGGGCAGATTCTGGCCATGACTAGAATGATGTCGTGGGCAGAGGATTACTGATTATGGTATGGCTGTTACGAAATACAAGATAAGCGAATAAGTTGAATCTGACGAATGTTGTTGTAAATTTGGTTAAGACTTACTAATGCTTGATCGAATGATTGCAGATACGAAGAGAAACTGGGTTTCGATGAATCTCTTAAGATAACATTCTTAGTGGGACTTTCATTTCGAATGAAAGTGTATGAAGAAGACATTCGTTGGTCGATCTGATCAGATCTTTGTATTGCAGCCGTTTGGCGTTTAGATGATATTCATGTTGACGCAGTCCACGAGACTTCCTCCCTCGTTTCGGGGTGAGCTTTCGTCCATCAAATGATGGACATTATCAGAGCTGGGTTTCATTCTTGTAAAATTCTCACATTAATACTAGTCCAAGAAGACTATCCGGCTCTATCTTGCCTCTTATGTAGACTCAATTGAGCCAAAAGAATATTAAAAACCTCGAGATCGAGGTAGCAAGTCTCGTGGACTGCGTCAACATGAATATCGTATAAAAACCTAACGGCTGAGGTATAACGAGCTGTATCATCTGGTGAGATCGAAGAACGAATCTCTTCTTCATTCACTTTCGTACAAAATTAAAGTTCCCATAACAATACAAATGATGGTAGTAGGGAGTAGGCGATGTTCCGCCGTTTGTTTATGTTTCCATTTATACTCACACCCGTTCGACAGCCATGTCAATCTCATCTACCAAAATACAAATATGAGATTGCATGAGCTCAGCCATGTTTTTGCTTTAATCATCAAAAATGTTAGTAACTTCAGACTAGCAGGTACTGAATGTTAGTTTCGTAATCTGAATTTCTTGCGTACAAGTTTAGATCTCGTCAATTCATTCAAGGTTACTATGAACTAACGCAATCTCGGTTATTATGCCTTATTGACCCGATGCTGACTTTAGGGTCTTTTCTGGATTCTCTAAATTATGGCGGGTTTCGCTCACAGACATTATCACACACACACACTCAACTAAACGTTTGTATCGAAACTAAATATAATTTTTTCTCGTCGAGTATTTATATTATGAAAAAAAGAGCTGTTCAGTCTTCTTGACTAATGTTAACTTGAGGCATTTGCAAGAATGAGTTCCAGTTCTGACGATGTCCATCGTATGACGAACGAAGACTCAGGATGTCTTGTGGACTGCGTCAAGCTGAACGATTTGTTAAGGCTGAACGGCTGCAACAAAACAAGAATCAGCTGTCGTCTTTTGGTGAGATCGCTCTTGAATCTTGTTATCATATACTTGCATACGAAATCAAATTGTTCACAACAAACGAAATATTTTCATCTAAGCGGATTGCAGAACCTGAAGATATGGAGAGGTGAGAATTATTCAACCAATTTCGTTTGAGGTGATGAATGACTGGTAGGAGAATTTTCCCATAAGGATAGGCATATAGCGAAGTTTCCAATGAAAGTCGTTCTCATCCAGTATGGACTGCAGTTTCGACCTGGCCCACGCCTTTTACCACAATTTCTGCATCAAAATGATGTTCATCCAGTATCAACTATCATCACACTTATGACCTATTTCACGCAAATTTTAATCCGAAATAGAAGAGCGACCTCAGCTCTTCCCCAAATGTTGCTTTTGGGAAAGCAAGGCTATGTGAAATTCCATGGAAACTTCATTGTGGGAAAATTTTACTACCAGTCTTTCATCACCTTAGACGAAATAGGGTGAATACATCTCATATTACTGATTTACTGGTGATCTCGAAACTCTACTCTAATACGAAAATTAATGAATTTATTTTTGCCTTCCGTTTGACTGGATCTCAACACCATCATTACAACTGAAAGACAGTTATTTTAATCATATTTCGTGAAATGTGAAGAAAAATAGATAATATTTCAACAATGCCATGAATAGAAACGGTCGAAACGGCAGTCTAGCCTGGATGTGAATATATTTAGGGTGATGTGAAATTCACATGATTGTGGAAAAAGTTAGTCTGAATACATATCTCTTAGTTTATTGTATTTTATATATCTTCTATGTAGCTCTGTCACATAGAAGGCTAGCGGTATGCTCAAACTGCAATTAGGTGAATCTTTAGTTTCACTCAAGTGCTAAATTATTTCCACCGAAGTGGTTGTATGGACAAATAAAAGACTGAAATCTGTCGACAATTTAGTTCATCCGCGAACGCGACTATCGCAAGACGGCATCACCGTTTGTGCCACTATGAACACATGACATTTCGTAATTCGGCTAAACAGTTATCATGTGAATCGCGAACACATGTCGCTCCTTAACGCCGACTCAGTCAAGAGGTTGCGTTTCTTAAGCTCAAGCATGACTCGTGAAGCCCCCATTTTGCAATTAGTTAATGCCAACTCAGGTTGTCTGTCCCGGCCAACCTGCTCTCCTCGTCTCCACCAATCGGCTGCTTCCTCGGCCACCTTCCCATTCGTACCCACTCGTCGATCTGCCATACAATATCCTTTCGCCCTCTTGTCAAGCCAACTTTGTTTCAGCTTTTTACAAGTAGGCTGCTCCAGACTTCTGTTAATTACGCCAAACGAAGACAATGCCTTGAATGGGAATTCAGGCGAAACAATGCTTCACAAGACAGGGTGGCAGACGAGCATAGTTTGCTCGGCTCTGACCCTGTTTATCCTCACTTGGTACCACGGTTGAATGTACCTGAGAGGGGTTTTGTGTCCGCATGCCTGTTCACCGACCCGATGGCCAACATCTCGTCAGCTCGAGTTCACGACAACTGCCGGCTGTACTCTTAACGGGACACGACAGTGCTTGTTTGCATGCATTCACTTTGTGTCCACATGCAAGCCGATGTATGCATCTCCCGTGGCCCACAGTCGACCTGCAAGTCCCATGCTGCCACACAATTGAGCCGAGTGTGTCGCGCAAACTCGTCAGCAGCAGAATGTTCTAATCAGGTCACAATTCAACAAGATATGCTCGTGTGTCAGTTTGTATGTGTGTGTGTGTGTGTGCCCAGCTTGAGTGTGTCTCGGGTGTGGTGAGATCTGGTGCGTGTCCATTATG